AACTATAACAAGAGATATATAATATTCCTGTATATTTCTTTTACTATTTTAAATATGACAGCACTGATTGTCCTTTCTTGGTCACTGCTATTTTGGTGTTTGAACTATTTACACTGAAGCTTCCATTACATAATTATCTCTAGATTTTCACCTTATCTTTCATATGCTGTGCTTAGATACCACACTGTGCCTTTCTAAGAGTTGGTGATTTAATCTTCTATAACATATGTGCTTGTCATTTGAAGGAGCAGAGAGAGCCAGGAATATGACATCTTGATTTTATTGGTTAAAAATATGTGCTATGTTGTAGGAAATTAACTCTAATGGTTTAAATTTCATCTTAAGCTTAAGGGCATATGAAGGGCTGAGTAGCATGTTATTCAGACTATTTTTAGGCAGAGAATTCATGTTCTAAGATGTTTATTATGCTCCGCTTTTGTTAGGCTCAGCTTTTGTTAGGCTTTTTTTGTGTATGTTACAGAAGGGCAGGGAATAGGCGGTCATACAGACTGTCCCTGACCGCACGTTGGAGCTGATCAGTGACTGATGACCTGCAGGGAGCAGAGAGGAGATAATCGCTGAAGTGGCATAATTTGATAGAACATAGGTTGATGAATCCAGTGGTGAGGCAACGGGACAGCTAAATACTCATTGGAGGGGGAAGTAACCGCTCATCCACTGGATTTTTCTCCTTTTAAAGGAGAGAGATTTGCATTCTCTATGGCCCATCAACCACAGGCAGTGGTTCTATTGCTGTGTAACTATAATATGGTTTTGGTATACATTTTGGAATTGGTCTGCACTGACGTAGTCCTTGTGATCTTGCGTGTAGGCCTGGCAGAAGCCCAGACTGACTATGGCTACATGCAGAGGATTGCTTACAAATCTTTTAATGTAGCTGCTTACCCATGAAGCATCCTCTCCAATGCTAGCATTTCAGATGCTGGCACTGTTGTATCAGTCTCTAAGCACCTGTGTGTTCCTGCTTCAGTCTGGCCAAATTAAAGGAAAGGTATCACTTGCTTGACACACATAAACCATGTTTTTTTCCTGACCTCCTACTAAAGACAATTTTCTTTTAATCTTCTTCTTGAAGAAGCAGAACCCTTGGGAATAAAACACATTTACAAAGGAATAGGATACTGAAGAAGCGATGAGCTTTCTTGATTGTACTGAAGCTAAGAAGCATCAGATAGGTGCTATATATCTTTAAAAGCAGTGGAAAGTCAGAGCCTTGAGAGTAGTTTACAGGCATGAGACTGCAATTCTAGAGACTTATTAGGAATTACCATGAGCCTTGGAGCAATTGCACAGAGCCCTGGAATCCCCACACTGGCCCCCCAAGAATTAACTTGAGAGTCAAAGTCTGAGCAAGTACTGCTGTTGGTTAAGTACAATAATCAGACTGGGGTTCTTCTAGTATGTATGGATGACCATTTTATGTAGAAGGATATACGAATGTACAGGTAACAGCAACATGGGTTTTTAGCTCATTTCTTATGAATATCCAACATGACAGTGGGATTAGCTGTGGAACTGCAGATATACTCCTTTTATTCCTCTCTTCTCCCTATCGTCTTTCCTTTCTGGATTTTGAGCATCTTAGCAGAGACAAAGACTGAGATTTAGCAAACCCGGTAAATCCAAACTATGGACTTTAAGTAGAAAGCAAAAAGGGGAAAAGAAATTCTGAAAATACCCAACCTATGCCATCTTCTTGACCTTATCTAAACCCTGATAAAACTCTCTCCATCTGTCCTAAAAGCACTGTGGTTGACTATGAAATGAGTGTTTGAGGTACATCCCCTTGATGTTTATCATGCTGTCATATGCATGGCTGATGCACTGAAGGTCAAACTGGGTTAGTGAAGCTATTCTTGTAAGATATGTGCCAGAATACTTCAATTCTAACTGACTTTCATCTGATGAAAGTTTAGCCAGTAACTTTGGTGAAATGGCTCTCACTTATAGCTGCTGAGAGTCACAGCAGTGCTATAGGTTACAGGGGTGCAGCCGTCTTTTGCTTTCAGCCTGAACAACTGGTTTGTATTGCTTTGCAATTTGTAGTGCAGCTCTTCAGAGAAAAGGGGCTAGAAAGTGACTTTTCAAAAGCAAATGAAAATGGAGTCTGATTTAGGCTATGTGGACTGGGGAAAGATCAGGGAAATTTTGTCCAATTCCACTTATGTCCCATTATTTCTACACTGTACAGAAGGCTAATGATGATCTATATTGTCATACATCCGAATCGGAGTTTAATTATTAATACTAGATAGCTAAATTTTGGGAATACATAATAACTGCCCTTCAGGGGACAATATTCCCAGGTCTATTATGGCAATGGTAATTCTAAGTTAAGATATATTTCTAGAACACTTTTGTTATTGGACTTTTTCTATAAACGCAATTGCTTCTAATTAGAAATTATTGGTTTAAATCTACTCCACATGGTCGTTCCTTTTAAGCAAGAAAATTAAACGGTGAATCTTCTAATCTGTCAATTTCTGTAAGCCTCCCTTCCACCTGCTTCCCCAGTCGCACGCAGTAGTGGAGGTTTCTGGATTATTATCATCTTTTATAGCGCTCTCACATTCTGTTCTCTGAAATGCAATAAAAGAGTTGTACTTGGCCATTCATCAAAAATGTAGCAATTCCATAAGGTATGAGCAGATGCTAAATACCAGTGCTCTGCAGGTGAATGCACCAAAGATAAGTTCATGGGCTCAAGTCTCATGTATTGCAAGGGTTTAATCCAACACCCTTGTACTCTCAAATGGTTGAAATAAGCCTCAGGATATGACCAGGCTGGAGTTCAAAGTAATTTTTATCCCTGTGTGGTTGTGGCAGAGCTGTATTTGACAGATATACATATTAGAAAGCTTAAATCCATTGAGAGATATTTTAGGCAGAACTGCTTTAGCAGGAAATAAAACATCCATGTCCATATATCATCTATGCATGTGTAAATAGGTTCATGTTCATGTACTTGTACGATTTGCTTTGCTTTACGATTAGACCTTACACTGTTTCTCCAAGTATATTATGCCACTGGATATGTATTACCCATTTACATTTCATCAAAGCTTTTCAGGCATGTCTTTGTCCAAAACATCCTGACAAATGCAGCAAATAATAGCTATCTCAGCAGTAATGTATGTATATTGCTATCCGCCTGATGCTCTTCCCCTCCACCCCAGTTATCTTGATAAAGGGGTTGTTCAGGAGCCTAGCCTTCATTTCTTCCCCAACAGCAAAAACTGCATGCACAACAAGCAGCAGACTGAAAAATTATGTTCACGCCTTGACCTTGAGACTTCCTGAACCAGTTTGGATTGGCTCTCCCCTCGAAACAACAGGCTTCCACAGGAAGTTCATAAATGGGCTCAAGTCACAGCAATTGACGTAGTTTTAGTATTTTTAACTTGGCTCTTCAAGAACTACCCTAAATGGGCGGTGTTTCGTGCACACAAAGAACTGGCCAGCTTTTCCAAGGGCGGACGTCAGTGTGCTGGGTGCAATGCAAACCAGTGTGACTAATGGCTGTCAGGCCCTGCTAGCCCAGCTTTGCTGGGCGCTGTGCTGAGGATGCGGTTGTGTGCGTTGTGAAGCTGCACTGTGCTCCACCATGTCCCAGTGTCAGCACCACTGGGGCTCCCAGCGCTGTAGGCTGCCAGCACCTCCAAAGAGCTAAACCACAGGCCTGTGTCCCAGCCCCGTCAGCTTCAGGCACGTCTGGATCCACGGTTGGATCCACAGCTTAAGAACTGGTGCAATCTCTTTCCCCATTGTCCATACTCAGTTCACCCACCTCTGCCAGTTCTCGTCTCTCAGAAAGACAAAGCACTGTACATCGTTCTTGTCTTAGAAATGGGTTGCAAGACTCATTCAGAGGTGTTAAAGAAAAGTTCTTTTACTCCCGAAGTCTGAAATATCGAAAGAGGGATGTGTGAAATGCCCATGGGTTGTTCCATTCACAATGACAGGGGAGAGGACCGGAAAAAATAAACGTTGAAAAAAAACAGGATAATTCGATCTTTAGAAGGAGAATGATGGATGAAAATGGACATGAAAACCTTGCTTTTGAGATGTTTTTTTCACACAGCTCTAACAAAATGCAACGGCATTAAAGACATTCCTTTTCATTCCTTTGCTTTGCACCTTGTTTTCTTATTACCTGTTTGACATGAACTTAATGGAAAACACTCTTCTGACTTACATCTCTGCACTCCACAGATTGTACGCTATAATCTGACAAGAAATTCAAATTCAAAGGTCTTGAGTGCATTGCTCCTATGTAACTATGTAAAAACATTTTCTTGTTTGCAAATAGTCTAATGGAATGGGATGAAGGATTGTTATTAATGTTAGCAATGCATATGATTTCAGACAGAGCTATTTGCTTCATTTATAAATCAGCAGCTCTGTCAAAGGGCCATAATGATAGGCTTTAAAGCAACTTTTCAAATTGACTGTCTAGTCTGATTAGTTTATTATTGGGGATTTTCTGGTCTATACTTAACTGATATACTTTGAAAGATAAGCTATATACATACATATGGTTGCTTTGAAAAATTGACAGGAAAGAAAAAATGAAGTAGAATCCCTTCCAGCAAATAGGCTGTCTTTTCATTCAGTGAAGAAGTCAGAAACCTTTCTTACTGGAGAAAAAAGCAAACTCTCCCCATGTACCCAGCTCACACAAATTAGATCCATTGGATAAACCAAATATTTTAAAACGTTCTTTGGTTTGTATCTGTAAACCATAGGATCCAGATCCATGGGACTTGCCAGTATACATTTACAAGGTAAAGAGTTAATTTGCTGTCTTTTTTTTCACTGATAAAGGCTTATCTTGTATTCTTCCAATCTTTCTTGTAAGCATTTCCTGAGAGGGGGTGTAAGCCAAGCAACATGGAGGATCTGCCTACGATACCTAGCAGGGGAAGCCTTGCCTGTTGGGCCAAGGCTAGCAGGTCTTACATAATAATTTATTACAGTACCTTTCTGTTTCCTGGTCTGTAGTTTGCTGCTTGTTCTCAAAGCCAGTGAAGCTGCTCATATCCACATAGCCGTCATTCTCATTAGCAGCAGATAATGCCCTGCTGGGATCTTCAAAAAACTCCGTAAAAGTTCCTGCTCGGGTGGATCTTCGAGGAGGAATTTGTATGTTTTCATAGTCAGAGCTCATAGCAGGAATGTTCTCATAGTCAGACGTGTCAGCATTGGGAAAAGAAATGGACCTAGGTTTTGTTAATGGGAGTGGCATGAAAGGAGGTCTGGACCGGTCCTCAAATGACTCCACCCTTGATACGCTCCTGCTGCTGAAGGACTTGGGCGTTCCTTTTCTTTTACCATCCTTATAGAAAAGAACAGCTGAGGGAGACTCAGATGCACGGAGCTTCCCCACGTGTGATTTTAGTTGAGGTGAGCTACTTAGGCTCCTCCTGTCCAGCTCCATCAGCCTCGGAGGCCCATGATAGCTAGACTCTGATGAGGACCTTGAAGAGGAAACATTAACATCTACATGGACTTTACTTTCAGTTTTCTTCTTGAATTTTAGAGTGAGGAACCTCTTAAAGGAAGATTTCTTTTTCTTGGAATACTTATCAGGTGAGTCATTCTCTATCAAAAGTGAAGGGGAACTTTTAGTGATTGGCTTTTTGGTGATGTAGGCAAGTTCAAAAGGAGGTGGTATATCAACAACTGAGGATGGAGTAGACATGCCACATGATGAAAAATGATTTATCTGGGAAAAACTACCTGAAGAACCATTGACACAAGGCAAAGACAAGTTGTCTTCTGTCCTTTTTATTCTATCATCCAGTACACAGCCATCACTTTCTCTGTAAACAGAGACAGGTATCTCTCTCCCTTCAACAGAGTAAGATCGAGGATATAAAATGAAACATCTTGACTTAGTTGGTAATGCCTTGTTGGCTTCCATTGGTTTTCCTTCCACTGAAAATAAATTATTGCTTAAGTCTTCTGTCCCAGAGCGATTGCGGGAAGATGGTAAATCAGGTTCAGTTCCAGTTTCTTCTGGAACTGTTTCTGGGACATAGCCTGGCATCTTCCCAGAGAGCGACCGTGTTCTAGTGACAATGGTTTTACGATCAATGGGCAGCAAGTTGTTTTCACCATCCATGCCTAATTCATCGCTTTTACTGTGATTAGCTCCTAAATCAGTCTGCCCATCATGAGCAATTTCATTTTCTGCAGGAAGCACATAAGGGTCATCTAGGAAATCATTGCTGGTTTCTCTTTCCTCTGATTCTTCAGGCACAATGACCACTTCAGGGACTGCTAGATTTTCATGCAAGACATGTTTGGTCCCACATTCTACATTCATTTTACCATACTTACAGACTTCCAACTCTTCCTCAAGTGGGACCTGTTGAGGTGGACTGGGGACACATTTGCTGAGGCTGTTTGTTTCCACCTCATTGTCTCCAAGTTGCAGCTCATCTGACTTAGAGGTTTCCACAATACTTTCACTATGCTCTTCAACAGTCACATCTTCCAGCTCTGGCTTCATCCCTGGACTACTAAGTAGACTATCAGAGACCACATCATCTTCATCCAGAGAGGTCCCTTCTGTTTGAAGATTCTCATCTGAATGTTCTGTGAGTATTTCCTCACCACATTCATTCTCACAAGGAGCAGTTTGACAGCCATCATCCATATTCTCTGCATTCCCAGGTTCTTCCTCCCCTTTCCCAGAGTCTTTGCTTGCTTCACAGGCTACCTCTGATGTCTTCTCCTCACCTCTCCTCTCAGTGATCTGGCAGCCATCATTGGCATCTCCTATGTTTGTAATATTGGGGTTTGCTTCCTCCTCTTCAGCTGCTGCTTGAAGGATGGACGCTCCTAAATCATTTTCAGCACTGGGTTCATCTTCACGTGGTTCTAAGCCAGGAGCTGTTTCTTCACTGGCCTCATCAGGCAGCATGTCAGGCCTTGCATAGTCATCATTTTCTAACTCTCCTTCCATGTTCAAATCGAGCTCTGCATGGGCACTATGGTCACCATCATGTGCTAGACACTTATCTCCCTTTTTGAAAATCTCAGGCAGTTCCTCCTCCTGCCCTGCCTTCTCACAACCTGAGACTGATTCATCTGCGGATAGTGGCATTACAATGGTATCTTTACAGATATCACCCATTAGTTCCTCATGTCTATTCAAAATGTTATCACTGTCAGTCTTACAATCACTATTGTCCTTCACCAGTTCCAGGTTGTTAGAAGTTTCCTCCTTGCTTTTGGTTTCACTACAATCACCTACAACATCCTCATCTTCATCTACATTCTTGGAAGCATCATTATCCACATCAGGGGCATCTGAGGACTCCTCACAAAGTGCTTCGGACTCGTCACAGTCTCTGGTTGACTCCTCAGAGTCTGGTTCCATTCGTTCAGCAATATCTGAAGAGTTATGGTGCTCATCTTCGGTGACTTCTTCATTACTGGTATCCTCATCATTAGCAATGTTATCTTCTTTCTTCTCTACCTCTTCTGGAATTTCTGAGACTTCATTTTTCACAGAGGTATCTAGGTTCTGATCATTCTCATGTTCCAAGTCATTACAGTCTCTGCTGGTCAGCTGAGCTTCAGGAACTACAATGTATTCATCATGTGCCTCAGCTTCTGGGCAGTCAGCATTGCATTGCTTTCCTTCATAGACATCTCCATCAAGACATAACAGTTTCCCATTTGAGCACTTATTTAAATTGTTGTTAGTATAAACACTGGATGTGCCCTCAGTGTCAGCTGAGAATTTTGGTTTGGGAGCAATAGGTGGTTTGGGACCCCTGGACATAGAGTTCGTGTTATGAGTAATATCAGCCCTTGGCAGTGAAGGAGAAAATTTGGAGACAGCTACTGGAGAAAGATGACCAATAATCTTTGGTTTCGGTGCTAGTGGTGGCTTTGTGATTTCTGGAGAAAAGAGAGAAAAGCTATGTTAGTAATCTTGGTTTCTTATTCAAGCCAGCAGAATATATCCTACAGTAGACTTTATCTTATACCAGTGACTTGTAATGCAGGAGGAGTGCAGCCAATAAAAGGCTCCACTCTGAAAAGAGAACTGAAGGAGCAAAGCATATGCATTGTGCTTCCATGTGACACTCGCTATTCCAGGGAACACAGCTTGAGGTCAAAACTGAACTGAACCAGATGCAGCCCTGGCACACTTGGGGAGACAAAGATGTACAGCTGCAGAGCCAGGGGTATATCATACACAGATATCCACAGATGAGTAATACCACCTGCACTCAGAAGTACTAATGACATAAGAGACCTTTTGATTCTGCCCCAGAAATCTGTCTGCCCTAAGATTAAGTATGATCACTTTGATTCAATGATGCTGAAGTGTTTCACTGCAGTGAAAGAAGTGCCTTTCAGCTACAGTAGCTGTTCTTATAACACAGTACACTTTGTAGCAATCATTTTAATTTCAATATGTAGTTTGCAGAATTTTAGCATTGAACAAAATTAGATTTACCAGCAAATGAAGGTTTAACTCAACCCAGCCAAACTAAATTGAACACCTGGTGTTCACACACAGTCTTCCTATCTGCCATTACCACGGTAACAAAATATGGAGTTACATTTTGTTTGTCAAACAACATAATCATAGAATCATAGAATCATAGAATCATAGAATGGTTAGGGCTGGAAGGGACCTTCAAAGGTCATCTAGTCCAACCCCCCTGCAAGGAACAGGGATATCTCCAACTAGATCAGGTTGCTCAGGGCCTCGTCCAACCTGGACGAGGGATAATCATGAGGGATAAGACAGTTTGCTAAAAGCTTGGCTAATAGTTTACACTGATGATGCAGCTGAGCTATAATGCACTGAATGAAATACTTCAACCTAAACACGAAGGTTTAAACTTCAAGAGTTACTGGTTTAAACTTCAGTTTTCAGCGTACAGCTTCCTCAGTCCTTTCTTTAGTCATAAGATCCTCCAGGACCCCCTGCAATTACAATCTTCTCTGAACATCAAAATATACTTTTAAAAAGTGAGTTATCTTGCAAAATAAGGCCAGCCAGGGTCTCTAAACTATTTCAAGTGAAAGCGCTGACAATAAGTTAGATTGAAGCTAGATGAATTAAGTCATGTATGGCCATTTTACTCACAATACAGTTTATGTGCCACCGCCATTTCCAGCTGCCTTGGTCCTGAAATTAATATTCTTTAAATAACTAAATGAAATGCTGAAAGGCTGAATGAATAAGCGACAATAGGGATCCTCCCTCTTGAGATTTTAGATGAGATTAAATATGTGGTGTGAAGAAGCCAGCGCACCAAATGGTTACAGATAGTAATAAGAGAAGGATTTTGCTCTTACTAATGTTTCCTAGCCATCAACATGTAATTACATGGTTAATCAATCAGAAACCTCTAATTACTTTTATAATTTTAATTAATACATTTTAGTGGAAAAAGGTGAGCTCTCCATTGTAAGGAAAAGCACAGGACAAATTATTTCACCATGAGAGAGACAGGAACTATTCTTTGTGCAAAATCTTCATGTCCCACGCACAGGACATAAGGGAAGAGCATCTCAAGAGACACCATTTGGGACATGGTTCCTATGCAAAATCCTACCCTAAATCATAGTATAAGGTTCCGGAAGTGTAGCTACTGTGCTGTTATATTATAACTATTTCGGAATGCAGGCTTTGACATGTGGAAGTGAAGACAATTAAAATTCAGCTGTGCACCATACTGAGAATAAAGTAATACTGAATGCAAACTGCTTAAAAATTATTCTCTGATTGTTCTGATATTTGGTGTCATGGTACTTTTCTTACTGTAATCTTAGTCCAGCTGGAGTAATTTGTATTGAACTAATACTGGCATATTTGTTTGGTTTGACTCTGAGAGACATAAGAGGCTGTTTCTTCTGATCTTCTTAACCTTGCTGAAATTTCTTCCAATACTCAGAAAGATGCTGACAATTTGGCATTCTGATGTAGCAGGAAACAGTCTTTCTAGAATTATGAGACATCAGAGAGACTTCATCTAAGAT